CATTCGCGACGACGTTGGTGCTACAAGTAGTGAAATACCGTGCTGAAGAAGCGCGCGCGCGCGCGCGTTTCCGAGTGACGGCGAAGCACTTCGATGACATCCCGGCGTATTCAAATTTAAGTACGGAATACTCGACGCGGAAAGACGGGTGACATACACCGCGAGCATTATAATTCCCGTTTTTGTGGACACTTTCTCTTCACGACTTGTGTATCCCATCCGGCAGAGATCTCCGGGAATTCTCTCTCGAGGGGGGAATTCGAAGACGACGGTGCGCGCTCGCGTACAGATGGAATTCGTGTCGAAATCGTAAACGCAACGAGAATTCGAGCCCGCCTGCAACATAGTTCGGCGTTACATTCCGACAGTGACAGTGTAGCCGTTCGATTAAGATCGAGACTTACGTATACGAGTACCGCTCGGATATTGGCACCAGTCGACGTTCGTCAGACGAGCACGTAAATAGGATGGAGAGTTTAAAATAGTGCGCGTTTCCTTGATACCTATATGTATTATAGATCTTTTCTTATTAGGCACGTATTTATCGCATAATGAACACTCCACTTTCAAGATAACGCGTATCGAAGCTTTTAAGCGGCGTTAACCGATCGATGACGCCCGTTCTCGATACGTCCCGAGCATCGAAACCGCAATTCTCGTAGGCGTGACTTACGACGCGGAAACTCTTTCGCGGCTGAGACATTCATAACTTAGCGCGACTAATTGGACGCAGCGGGACAACGATCGCTCGAAGATATCATTAACGGTTATCTCGCACCGCGGAAACGGAAATCTTTCGCGATTGTGATTCGCTATTATGTCACACAAACGTAAATCGCGAAATCGTACTCATCGCCGCGAGAACGTCCTGCGATCGTACACCATCTCGATCGTATAGAGATATCAGCAAATGGGACAGATTCGAATTTGCAGCCCGCCGTAGGCGGAAATGTTCCGTGAGATGTAATAATTAATCGTTTGCCGAAGGGTCGCTTGTAAAACGGCCCGGTGGGTTGTTTAACGCAAAGGACACCTGCGCGAATATGAAGTGAAGTAAATTCACTGTCGCTATATCCCGGCGTCAATATATTCAGGCGTAAATGAATTATACATTTCTACAACTAAAGCTTTCGTATATTAGTTACATGCGTAATATTCACAATGCATAAGAATTGCGGTTATTTGACACATACCGTGACCGTCTAGGGTTTAACGTCGCGGGAGTGTCATAATTCATAACGGTCGTCGTACGGGAAGGGTCGTTATCGGAGAATTTTTGTAATATCATACTTCGCGGTTATGGTGAACGCGCCTGTGCGTTCGGCATGAACCGGCTACGAGTCATCACGGCGATTTCCATCTTTGCATTTATACCGTTGCACTGCGCGCGACAGCGGCGTTTCTTTCATCCTGTCCGTAATGTCTCATTATTCGGCTAATTTAGTTTTATCTACAAACACTTAGCGCGACGCATTGCGATGTTTCGCTCGGACGCGAGTCACGCGATGTGATTTTCCGCGACGCGATTGTCCGTTCGCGATTCGTTCGCGGTTTAACGCTGCCTTTTGCGGCAAACTTTGCACGATCTCGTCGTCGGTAAGTACCGTTGCGAGAGGTGTAAATTAAACGGCGATTAGCGGGTGAAACCGCGACGGGCTCCCATCTGCAAAATGATTGTTATAAAGATGTTCGCGATAAGTTTACGAGCCTCCGTCTCGCGAGGAGTTGCCATTACGTGTCGGTAGATAATACTTGTTATATTCTGCCTATCATAACGATAATACGCCGGAGTATGTTTTACTGGGGACTATTTTAGGCGAGATTTTGTGTGTAAGATGCAAGCTCTGTATATTATGTTATCTGCCAATATTGGATCTTCAATTTTATGATAGCTATTATATTTGCATTCGCGCGGTTAAGATTTTAACAGAAAATAATAATTACTGACACATATTTTGTGCATCGTCCAGTTTTCGATTTATATTAATTGTTTAATAATTTAAGCAATTTATGTAGCTCTTAAATATAATAATAGTTTTAATTTATTCAGAATGATATGGAAAGACATGAAAAAATAAGTGTATGAGCTTATATACTTTTGCTATTCTTGACAGCTTTGCAGGGAGGATTATTAATAGACATTTCAACGAGTAAACGTATCGACGACAGATTGAATTAAAAAAGTATGATGACTCTTGATTCTCGCGACGAATGACATTATCATAGTTGACATATAAATTCACACATTTTATCGTTCGTTATTCAGTTTCTACTTCGGCATATTATGACTACTTTGCGACATAAATGTATTCGCCCGTGCTTTACGATCTTTTTCGTAACCATTATCGTGTCCTTCTTATAATCGGTTTATTCCTCGGAAGAATTTTACGTTTGTTTAGCGTGCACGATTATTTACGCTCACCTATAAAGCAGACTGATAAAGAGACACTTCTTACGACATGGCTCTGTGGAAAGCGCCACTTGACATTTTCCAGGCACGTCGTTAGCGGTATCAATTTTACGTTATGTATCTTTGGCTAAGTACAAGAGGTCCTTTTATTAGACCTCTGTGACGGTATCGAATTACTGTGTATCAATTCGACACAATGGATGCGATTTGTCAAGAAGCGATACACGAGACGATTGTATATAATCGTTAATCTCATTTCACCATCCGCAGAAATATGCGGTGAGATAATTTGACGACGAGATAATGAACGATCCTCGGAGAGTTCGTTTTTGATCTGGTATTTCGTATTATTTCGTTGTCGTCGTACTTTGTATTGTCACGTAACTCAAGTGAGTAAGCGTTCAATCATTTCTACATTTAATAAATTGGACGAATCGTCGCATCCGTAAACGCATCGTCACAGAGACATGGGACGCTTTATCAAAATCATAAACGGAGTGCGAATTAGTTGGTAGTCGGGGATGATCGGTACCTTATATAGGCGTTTATACGCCACTTGCGATAAGTGGCGTCGTAAATGCGATTGAATGCAGCGTGCCCGGCACAATGCGGTGTTTCGGCACGCCTCGTTGGGAGTTGCCGCGATGAAACGCCAATGAAATAAATTGCAATTGCGTGTAAGATTGAGATACGTAGAGGCATATACATCGATATCAAACGAAATTACGTTTGATATCCTATAATTATAAACTACTTTTTCGACTGTAAATGCGATCTACATGAGGCGCGATTGAAGAATGATGTCTAAAGCTCTAAGGATTACGTGACGTAAGATGCAGACTATAGAACATTACGAGCGATAAATCACAGACTGGGATAGAATAAGGGCGAAAAAAGCTGAAGTGAAATATACGACACGCGTGATTTTCCCATTGCACCAAACACGCAAGTGGTCTAACCGCCTTCGATTGGCGTAGTTGGCCCCGGTATTCGCCGCGCGTATAACCCTCGTTTATGAAAGCCCGCCGTTATCCCTTACAAAGTTCGCTTAACAACCCGACGCGAGGGCGCATTTCGCGACAACATGTTTTGCGAATGACAATTGATTTTATAAGTAACGATGTCACTTTACGCCCACTTATGATATACGGGCCGCGCGAGATTGTGCGCGCGGATTCGAGGCGACAATAAAATTTTAACGCTGGCATAAAAGCGCCACTGTCCGTCTCTCGATATACCCAGGCGAACCCAGACGGATATTTGAGAATACGGTCCTCACACCGCAACGCGACGGCCGTCAGAGCATAAATAACGGAAATCCAACGCGACCATTTTGCGGCGTGCGCGCGGCCGAATATTTACGCTGACATTTAGACTTCCATTACCCCGTTCGCGTGCATGTGCCCGCAGCAATGGAAGAACAATAGTCTAGACGACGTAACTACCGCGAAGAATCAACCTGTGATTTATCGCCGGTCGTGGATAAATAAATAATAATTAGCGACTTATATAGACAGATAGCTCGCTCAAAAATTCTGGTTCTCCGTCGCGTTAAAATTTTACGTTACAATTTCTCTTGGATTTGATTTATTTCGGGCTCTCACCGCCACCAAAGAGAACATCCTTTATTCTTGCGAATCGATTTCTCTACATATGTAATGTATTAAGGCGGAACCGATTTATGGATCGGATTTGCGTTACTCGGCTGTGCACGTTGGATTTAATCCGACGTGCACGATCGCCGCACGATCTTCGTAAAAATTCCGATCGCCTGGGCATGATCCTTATCCGAGTCCAAGAAAAAAATTTAATTACCGGCGCACGATCGCTATCTGCGCGCGCGGAAAAATTCTGACGGCCGGTACACGATCGTACCGTTTCCTCGAAAAAATTCTGATTACCGGGAAGCGAGCGAGGACAGCCGGTATTAATCGGCGCTAATCGCGCCCGCGCGGGAAGTACCGTTCGATTAATGCCGAGAGCAGAGGAGGCAACGAGCATCGCCCGCGTGGATGATGGACCTAATTTACGATTACCCTCGCAAAATCCGCGCGATAATGCCTGTTCCCGAATCGCGCGAATGACTAAGAGCTCATTAGCCACGCGAGTGTTTTATTGGTTTTTTAATTTCTTTTTTAATTGACGGGACACGCTTTATTAGCGCATATTCCGTCCGCGAACTGCATCAATTAGAAGCGTCGCGAATACATACGGGACTTGATAGATACGTAATTAGCGAATACCGGCCGCTTATCCGATCCCCGCTAACCCGTATCCGACGCTAAATTATGCGGACACTTCGCATCTCCAACTAGCGACACGACGCCATGCGGAGTTCTCGTTTACGCTATTCGTTATCGTTAATCAACGGAAGCGAACGTCTGATTTTTCAACAGGAAATACTCGTTGATATATTACGGGAGACGCTTGTTATATTACAGGTAAACATCGTGGCAATAAACAGTATAGATAACCAGGATAATTTCTGAGAATACTTGTCACTCGTACGTGATACGATCTATCTATTATCTAAGAATATTGCGTGAAAATATCGTAAAAAATGTACGTTACTCGTGTCAGGGAGTTCTCGAAGTTCTCGTAGTCCGGATTTCCGTTTGCCTCATCCGCTGTGCTCAGCTTTCGTACGGCGTGGGACCACCTACGCACACACATTGAATGTCGATTAGCAACCCGCAATAAGTCACCGAATGCCGTAGCTAGCGGCTATATGCGTTCCAGCATTACCGGCTCATTTGATTCACACTGTCCGTAATTTTAGCCTCGCGAAAGAATAATGGCGAAATACGCAGACTTTCACCCGGAGGGGACAGGGTCTACGGCGCGGGCCGGCTCGATCCCGTATGGATGCACCTGCCGATTTTTACATGACACTCGAGCTTAAATCGTTTAACCCGATCGGCCGACCCACGCGAGACAATCTGTTCGTTTTCGCTGCACTTCTGAACTGGTGCAATAAGTTAGAATGAAATAAATATATTTTCTTTCATTCTAACTCATTGCACTAGTTCAGAAGTGCAGCGAAAACGAGAACAGGCTTAATGAATAGTCGCCCCCTCCCCCGTTTCTTCGTCTCTAAATATCACGCACATATATCGATACATAAATGTACAAGCTTGTGGACACATATATAATTTGGGCTTCATATTTTAAGCGATAAAAACATTCTTCAATGATATAATAGATTAGATCATTTCTTCAATCTCGAAATTAAATGGCGAAAGTTTCATCATTTGACGTTGTTTTACATTTCAGAGTTGTTGAAATATTTTATATACGACAAATGTTTTATATACAATTAACAGATAATCGCGTTTAAATTAGATTCTGCGGATAACTTATTTCGCGTTATCTACAACGTTTCCGTTCAAAGAAGAGATATACTAATACCGATATACGCAGATATCTGATACGCTACGAGCTACGGGAGAGTAACCGCCATCAATGTCTAATGGTCGCGGAAAGAATCAATCAATACAATCGCGACACTAAATCTCTGTCAATAATTACATCGACGGAAAAATTAACTCCGTTTCCCAGGAATACGTTGGAATAATACATACAGAATATTGATATGCAAATAATGATCGCAGTCGAATGTGGTCTGATTAATATCACGACAGGCAGTAAACTTAGCGTGAGCAGTTTGATTGACGCAATTAAAAAGTTATTTTTCTAGTGATAATGCAACGCGAAGTCGAGTGCTCCGAGATTTTGCAATCGTTTAATTTGAAAATCATCGATTAAAATTTTTAAACGGGAAATCATTTCTCATGATCTCAGATATACGTCGCATGGAACTCACTGATTTCTCTTTAATCTCAGCTTCACGCGAACGAACGCGAGTCGAGCGGATAGACGCGGAAAAGGGACACGGACGATTTATGCGACGTTTCAACACGGTGTGCTGGCGATTTAGATTTAGGATCCAGAGGGAAATCCTGATAAATTCGTAGACGAAAAAAGTAACGGTTTCTCGGCGTCCACAACCGAACATGCGCGGCCGCAAATACGATTATCACCTATAAATTTACGGATGGACATAAACTTCTTCGGAATTCCGCTTCGTCGATTATCAATTGAAACAAAACCGTCATATATGAGATACGTATAGGATTTCAACCGTAAAGTCGACTCGTGCGCTCAAAATCGCGACAATGTAGGCTATACAGCCAACTATTAATCAAGCACTCGAGCGTATCCTTCCGCTCTAAATGTCCTCCTCGCTACGAAAAGCTCGCAGGACTCACTACTTCGAACCTGTTCGCCAGATGTATTTTTTCACTTGTCGTCCGATAATAATATCAATTCGACTCTCTCCTGAAACTACAGATACGAAAATGGCTGCCAAGTCGAACAATAGATTATGTCAGTTGATTAAACAAGTTGTCTTGTACAGCACAAAATGGTGTCCTTGCTGTAAATGATTGTGAAATATTCGATAAAAATATATACGCCGTATTTCTCCTGTTTCAGGATTTAGAATAGGTATGTTTATGACATTTAACTAAATATTAATTAGACTGTAGAACTTTGGGATAATAAACACTAATTATTTGCGCTAACTTTTAATTTGTTGTTACGAGAAACCTTCTTTTCTTTTAATTATTGCAAATTGCACGAACATTATGAGACATAGCTTTAAAAAAAAAAAACTTGCATCGATATCATGGTGAAATAAGAAACGCCCGATTACGATTATTCCGAAGACAAATGACGAAGTTGAGAGTCGGTCGTCTTGGTAGATCGGCATTTCCTAAAGAAGCGTCGCGTCGCGTCGTTTAAATCATCATAGCCGATGCATCAGATTACTAATTGAACGAATCGACTATTTCGCCCTTATATCGGGCCAATCGATCGCCCGCCTGAAAGCTTTGACCGTATAATAGCGCCGCTGCCTGATTTACGAACTTTCATTCGATAAAGCGGAGTTTCTAGATGCGACACAAGCCTCTTCGTTCTTCAAGCCGATAATCTTGGGTCGTTTGTGTTTCAAGGCAATTATACGTGTGACCGGAACGCTATATACCAAATATATAAAATCACTTCATTTCGATATACGATGGTCATGAGAAGAGTCTCATTTTCACGCGCGATTATCATTTAGAAATCATTAAGATTATTATTTAGAAATCATTAAACTGTAAAAGTTTTAAAATATTTTGCAGCATGTATGGCAATTGTAAACTGGTCAAATTAAGATAGTTATTTTTACGATTCTTGATGGTTTACGCTGTAGTGTAGTTGATTCTTAATGTATTATCACTATTTGTAAAAATTAATTGCTTTTAATTGAATCATTTTCTGTTATATTTTATATTAACAATAAGTTATTCCTTCAAGAAAGTATTGATTATAGTGGAGCGATAAGCTCGTCCTCATTCTATCTGTTTAGATTGATTTCACCAGATTTGTTATTCGCTCTCGGAGAGTGTGTACGCTATGATACGCAGCGTTTATTTCTGCTCCCCGACACACGCGTGATATCTCACGGAAGTAAATGCATGGCGTTAGCGATTGCGACGTACAATGTACGTCGGTGCGGCCAAAGACCGGAGAAATCGATGGATATTGTAACAGATTATCAAACGTGATTTTAACGATTTTCTTGCTGTTGGGAATGGAACGGGAACGTTTAATCGTTTCTCGTATCTCGTATTTGTATGTTTACCTGCTGCGTCATTATGGTTCTTGAATTGCTGCATGCGCATACCTTCGATATTGGCAAACACGATGTTTCGATCAATTGTGGCCTAACGATCGATCAATCAATTAAACTTATGCGAGATATATCCACACTGAGAAAAAAATTTACTAAAATAAAAAAAATTTAGCTTAATTTTAGTAAATCGCGTGTTTGCATGCAACTGTGAACGCGTTTTTTTTAAATAAGAAACTTATTTACTTATTTAAAAAACATAATTCCCTTAATAAAGAAAATAATTTATTAATTATAACAAGTATTTACTGCAATACAGTCAATGATTATTGAAATGTAATTTTTATTTTTTACTAATTAGTAATTTTGTAATTATATTTATTACTTTCAATAAAATGCATTTTCTTATTAAGTAAAAAATTCATAAACTTAAAGAAGTATTTTGTACAATATATAGTCAATATTTATAGAGATATGAATCTTATTTTTTATAAGTTAGCGATTTTCTAATAATATTTATTTAATTTAAGAAAATAATTTTTCTATAAATTATTTTTACCTATAAGTAAAAACTTTTTAAAAATTTTTTAAAACATATACTAAATTGGCATCCAAACGCCAAGAGATACTCTTGTAGAGAAGGGATTCTTCCACTTACGATAGTGGACTCTGTGGTTTTCGCCTCGCAGCGGGTCTGCTTATATATTATAGTTGGATATATTTTAAATTTGAGAAACGTTTCCCATCATACGCCATCTAGCAGCGTCGCGCGTCGTTACGAACTTATAGGATTTCGTCGAGTTAAAAATGCTTACAAATAAAATATTCCTTTTTTTTTGTCGAATATATTAACTTTATTTCAGTATACGTTTCCTCAAATGTAATAAATTGCACTAAAAAAAATATTTATTTTTTTAAAGTACACTATTTATTATTTTTATAATTTTAGAAACGTGAATTTAAGCAAATATTTATTAAAGTGCCATTTCTAAAATTAAAAGATTCGGATTTAGTATTTTAAAAATTTATTTACTATATTTCAATAACTATTATACTGTAATATAGTAAACCTGAATTTGATTCAAGTAAATGTTTCAAGATGAAAACATTTTCTGATTTTAATGCTTCAGTTTACTATAATCAAATTAATAAGTTTTACAATTTAACATTATTTATTTAAATTAAGTAAATCTAATTTTAGTAAATATATTTACTAAAAATAAGCAAATTTTTTTTTCAATGCACCGTTTATCATTTCATGATTCGTCGCGTCTTGTAAAATTTAAAATTCGTTGGTCTCGAAATGTGAATTTTATTATGGACTTTCAGCACGTTCTTCAACATTAGTTAATCTGGTGTGTGTCGAGTAGAAATATAATCAAATAGCACGTACCACGTTATCTTTTATGGCCTCTCTTCTCCTTTTCAGACTCTTAGGACGCACCTCTTTATTTTCGAGGGTAGGATCTCTCAAACTTGTTCCCTAATGTCGGAAAGCGAGCTCGGCAAACAAAGCGCATTAGTATAATTATCGGGTCAACCCTAGGACCGAGCTGTGGGAAAATGTCCACTGTGTGCCACCTATCGATACCCGACGTTTATTCAATCAATTATGATCTCTACGCGCGGACTGGATGTAAAAACCATACTACCTGCCGACAATGATCTTTAGAACAATCGACAATGAAGCCTCATAATCTAAATATGTCAACATTTGAAAGATCGACTAAAGCAACATTGTTGTTTGCAGACTCAATTCATATTATTAAAATTCCTTGATTGACCAAGAACTTGTTCTTACGTAAAAAAAAATATAAGAGCACGAATATAGTTTTATATATTAAGTATGAAATAATGAATTGTTTATTATTGCACTTAATCTAAGATTCTTACTTTCTTTGCAATTCTATTCATGTGTCGTTGCTAAATTTTTTATTTTCTGTATCGTTGTGTTCGATTGCACGAATGGAAGGCGATGTCGT